GCTTTTCTCTTTGTTGATCTGCACACTAGAGCTGAGGATTCTACCTACGAGGATGCTATCTTAAACGGCATAGAGGTGTTCAAGATGAGCGATTCTGATCGTAACCTCGCGGGACCAAACCCTCCACTACAGGACTCTAAGGGATCCGACCAAACTCTGAATCCAAACACAGAAAATTCCAAGTCGAAGAAAACACTATTGGCCATTGCCTTAGGGAGTGGCGTTGCTGGCTTTGTTGTTCTACTGTCTATGGTGTTCTGTGTAGTTTTCTTGAGGCTACGGAAGGAGAAACGCTACCACGGTTCGTCCAAAAGAAGATCCAGCAGGTCGACGAAGACTTCCTCGGGGAGGCTTCCTGAGCAGGTTTGCCGTTGTTTCTCGCTCGCCGAGATCAAGATGGCGACCAACAACTTTGATCAAGTGTTGGTGATCGGCAGGGGAGGTTTCGGTTACGTCTACAAAGGTCATTTGGCCGACGAAGTGTCCACAGTTGTTGCAATCAAGCGGCTGAACAAGGGGTTATCGGGCCAAGGAGAGAAAGAGTTCGAAGCGGAGATTAAGATGTTATCTCAGCTCCGCCACGTCCATTTGGTCTCCCTCATAGGCTACTGCGACGACGACGATGAGATGATCCTCGTCTACGACTACATGGCCAACGGGACTCTTCGAGACCATCTCTATGGCACGGACAACGACCCTCTCCCGTGGAAACAGCGACTCGAGATATGCGTGGGGGCGGCGCGTGGGCTGCACTACCTCCATTCAGAAGTGAAGAATACCGTCATCCACCGAGACGTTAAGACGACAAACATATTGTTGGACGAGAAGTGGGTGTCAAAAGTTGCCGATTTTGGATTGTCAAAACTCGGTCGCGGCGACAGCGCTGTTAGTACGGCGGTGAAGGGCACTTTTGGGTACATGGACCCGGAATACGCACAGAGCCGGCAACTGACGGACAAGTCCGACGTGTACTCTTTCGGTGTGGTTCTTTTCGAGGTGTTGTGTGCCCGTAAACCGGTGGATATCAAACTCGAAGAGGATCAAAGAAACTTGGCACAATGGGCAAGGAAGTCCATAAAAGAAGGGAGGATTCAGAACATCATAGACCCGTACTTGATAGGCAAGATTGCGCCGGAGTGTTTCAAGAAGTTCGTGGAGGTGGCGGAGAGGTGCGTCCGAGATTATTGGAGTCAACGGCCCACGATGCATGAGGTGATGGAGAACTTGGAGTTTGTGTTGGAGCTGCAAGAACAAGCGGACGCGACGCAGCTGGGGAATAATCCCGACGGGCGGTGTTCGTATCCGGAGAAGCTGTCGTTCCATCTGGTTGTGGATAACCGTGGGTTCGGATACGACGTGTTGGGGTTGCGAAGTGGGGTCGGTGTTTCCACCACGGTGGGGTCCAACACCGCCGAATCGGGCGTTCCTAGTCTGGACAGTGAAAGTGGCACCCGCGAAATATTCTCAGACGCCTCTATTTCCAAAACCCAAGAATAATTGGAAGAAAAAGTGTTTGTAGTCAAGAGTGTTTGCAGTCCTTGTGTTTGAACTCACAAGTCCAATAATTGAGTGAGTCTTCCCCCTGGGTCTTGGGCACGTGAATAATTAATCTAAAAGGCATCTACCTCTATCTTTCCTCTGTCTCCTCTCACTCCCTCACACGTCCAGTACACGCACAGCACTCTCATATATGCCCTAGTTTTTATTCTCGTCTAAATCCTTATAATTTACTCGTCCTACAATCTGAATTGGTATTCAACAAGATGAAAAACTCACCTATACTCCATCCTCATCATCATTTCATCTTCATTTTCCTCTGTTCATGAACATTAATCAAAGTCTCCGGAAGCTCAACTTCCGAAGAGTTATTTAAACATGTCGTTACAGCCGTTGCTGTTGCTTCATATCGTCTTTAACCATACTAATTCTTCTGGGCTGCACTATTTTCTGCAGAAGACGCAGAACGATTCAGTCAGATGAAGAGCAAAAAGTTTTATATTGTCATCGTTTCACTCTCAATGAAATAAGAACCGCCACGAACAACTTCGATACGGACCTTAAAATCGGGGACGGCGGGTTCGGAAGAGTTTGCAAGGGCTTCATCGACGGCAAAGAAAACCCCGTGGCCGTCAAAGTCTTGAAGTCAACGTCGAGTCAAGGGTTCCGAGAGTTCTGGACTGAAGTCGAAACGCTCTCGAAGCTACAAAACCCTAATCTCGTTCCTCTGATCGGCTACTGCAACGATCAACGGTTCATGATCATCGTATATGATTACATGGCCCACGGAACGGTCCGTGATCATTTGTATGGTACGAATAATCAGCCTCTGACGTGGAAACACAGATTAGAGATCTGCATTGGACCTGATCGTGGATTGGTTTACCTTCATGCAGGCGCGGAGCATGGATGATAATCCACCGCGACGTGAAGACGAGCAACATTCTGTTGGACGAGAATTGGGTTGCCAAGGTGTCAGACTTTGGGCTTTCGAGATTGGGCCCGACGAGCCCATCGAGAAGCCACATCAGCATGGATGTGAAGGGCACGTTTGGGTACTTGGATCTGGAATACTTCTGGACCAAGCAACTCACTTCAAAGTCTGATGTTTATGGGTTTGGAGTGGTGATGTTCGAGGTGTTGTGTGGCAGGCCTGCCGTGGATATGGGCCTGGAGGAGGAGCAACAGAGTTTGGTCCAATGGGCTCGATTTAACGTGGAGAAAGGGATTCTCGATCAGATCATAGATGAGAATTTGAGGGGTCAGATTGCGCCAGAGTGTTTGAAGGTGTATGGAAAAGTAACGGATCGGTGCTTGAGAAGTGATAGAAAGCGACGGCCCAAGATGGATGATGTGTTGAGGGCCCTTGAGTTCATACTGAGGCTGCAGGAAGGTGCTGATTCAGCCGTGGAGGACGGGATAGAAATTGGTGAGGAAAATAAGAGTGATGAGAACATTTCATGTTGGAGAGGTGGAGATTAAGTGCTTGTGAGATCACAGTACAAAAATGTCGTGTTGCATTCTTGTCCAACGATATTATGGCCAAAAAGTAATTCTCAAAGAATGCTTTTGAGATTCTTTAGCGATAAGGTGGGGCTGAAATAAGGTGGGGCTGAAATAGGCAACTCAATTTACATCCTGAGCTCTCATAACTTTATGTTTCACGTGTTCGTATACACTAAAGAACCATCATGGTGAGGGTCTAAATTAAAATGAAAAATATCCATGGTCATAAAATATATGTTTCCTCATCTCTGTGAACGTATAAAATATCCTTACCAATGAAATATTTGCTCATCTTTCTTTTCTTTTCTTTTATTTTCCTCTATTTTTTAATACAATTTTCAAATACTTCACGTGCTGATGATATCAAATTAGATTATGGATTATTCAAAAAGTAGAACAAATAAGACAAGCTCTCCAAACAAACTAAAGAAAATTTAGAGGAATGTCTATTTATGGGACATGAAGATTTATACATATCTTTTAAAACATTAAAAAAATTTTGTACTAACTTTCTTCTTTCATATATTAATTTAGGAGAATGACACAAAAAGAAAATTCACAAATTCCCTAATTTTCCGCCAAAAAAGAAAACATGAGCATGCATATTGTATTACTGGTTCCAGCTTCATTACATTTCATCAGGCAGATTAATTAGTTCTTTTATAAATCAAGGTTCCGTTTGTTCTATTAATTCGAATCAAACTGAAGTTTTTACTATAGTGTTTTATCTCACAAAAAAAAAATCAAATTTAACTTTTATGTTTCAATATTTTCTCACATAAATTCACTTTTCTACTCAAGTTGAAAACTTGAACTAACGAAACAGCCCAAAAGTAAAACTTTGATTAGCTCTTTTTTTGTTTTTATAATGTTTTTCTCCCTATCCAGCTTAATTAATTACATTTGATCAGGTTGATTTATTATTTAAGGTAATTATGTTAAGTTTTAGTTTTGATCATCTTAATTATTTGAGGTAATTTGAGTTTTAATCTTTTTTTTTTCGCAATTTATCCTTTTTCCTACTAGCTCTTGCATGCCTGGTACTTTACGCCTTCCCTCCAGTCTAGCAGCCTCTTTTCAATCCAAGAGTTGCATGACAAGAAAGCGCCTTCCGGTTAGTTTCAATTAGTGTTAGGGAACCTCATAACTATGCAAATCCCGATTTTGGTTCTAATGCTACACGGAGAGGTGCTGTTGATCGAACTAATCGACTTTTCTTTTGAGAAGATTGAAAATCACTTGATTGAATCTTTCTGTGAAACAAATAATTGTGAGGCGGCAGGGCATCCCAATTTCTTATTGGGAGGTCTTTTCTTTTTGGGTCATGGTAGCATAATCCAAATTATTGCAACGGATGTGCAGCAACTAATTACCCGATGCCCAAATAATCCGCCTAGCCAAACTTGACGGCTATATATGTTGTAAGGGGTGGGGGATAGGTGGTGGATTCAAAATGTGCATGGGTGGTGAAATTGAAATAAATTTTTTAAATTTAAATGATATTCAAAACATATATTTTTTTTATTATTACTTTTTAGACTAAAGTCATACACAGATCATTTCAAGTCATCCTTAAAAAAAATTAAAAAAAAAACTTTATTAAAGTCATTTGATGAATAAACGTTTAGTAAAGTTTGATTCCATTTCAAAATGGAGAACATACATAAAATAGAAAATTAATATTTATTTTCATAAGCTCAATCTAGTCCACTAAAACGTTAGTGGTAGTTGGAAGCTAAAACAAATAAGTTAACACTATACTTTTGTCATTACCCTTTTGTCCGGTATCTAAGGTAAGGTTTCTTCATTTTATATCACTAATATTTCTTACTCCAAACTTCAGAATACAAGAATATTCTTACATATTAGTCATATATGGTTTGTATACAAACATAATGGTCCTGTAAATTTGTTTTACTCGAAAATACCATTCGAGAAGCACACATCAGGTTTACAAATTAAAGGACGTATGAACTGGAATAATTGATTACTTTACATTGAAAAAACAAAGAAAAAAAAGAAAAGGAAAACAAAACTCACGTATGAGCATTAATGGATATAGCAAGTGCACTAAAGGCTGATTTGTACGAGGGACTACACAACTTGGGATTGTTTTCGAATGGACGCCGGCAAAAAGGCGGAATCAGATGGTTGAGATGCGCTCTCTCCAATATCGCGCGACAAATTCACACTACACTAAAAAAGATTATTAGAGATGATATTTATCGTTATTAAAATTAAAATATTAGCGACGATATATCGTCACCAGAAAGAAAATAAAATTTTTAAATGATTTTTCGTCACATTTACTATTTACGATGACATGTCGTTGCACAAAATTTCACTATTTACGATGACATATCGTCGCTAAAATTTGATAAATTATCCACGACGACATGTCGTCGCTAATATCTGTTGGCGCCAAAACCAATCGGGTGCCATTAATTTTGGCTCTAGTTTGTCCATTATTTGCGACGACATGTCGTCACAAATATTGATTGTTACAGCTGGCGGTGATGTGGCCAAAACAGGACGGAAAATTTGGTGGTTTCCCACGAATAGGTTCCAGATATGTCTTTATTTTTTGTGATGACCTATTGAAAGGTCGTCAAAAAAATAGTTCCAGAAAATTCTTTTCAAGACGACTGTTTTTACGACCACACGTGTCGTCATAAAAAAGGGTTCTAGAAAATTCAATCAAGAATGACTTTTTTTTGCGACGACTTATTTAATAATGTCGTCGCAAATAATGGGGAATTCAAATTTCTCCTAAAAAAAGGACAGAAACTTTGGCAGTTTCCTTAAATTTATTTGCGACTATATTTTACCAAAGTCATCGCAAAAAATAGCATAGGTATATTCCTCAAGAATATACTCAGAAATATTAATGAGGTAAAGAAGAATGGCGTCATTTTTGTATTAATTGCGACGACTATTTAATATTTTTTGCGACGACATAATGTCATCGCAAAAAGCCACCTGCATTAACACGATCGCAGAACTCGTTTCTCCATTTTTTCCAGTGACCCTCTCGGTTTTCTCTCTTCTTTTCCATCCAAAACCTCTAAAAATTGTCCAAAAACTCTTAAACAAACATAAATATATCATTTTGTCTTCAAATCCTTCATTTGTGGAGAAAAATATTATGAAAATTCCAAAAAAATGGAGTTTTCACCTCGCCGCCCATTTTTCCGGCCATCGTCGTCATTTTCCGGCCGCCATCGCCTTTCCAGCCTTGCTGCCATACCGTTTTCCAACCCCCGGTGTTTGTGGGTTTGGATTTTGTGAGTTAATATTTTGGTATTTTATAAATTGATTTTGGTATTTTGGTTGTGGTTTGTGGTTTTGTTTTGGCTATTGAATTTAGTTTGTGGTTTTGAATTTAGAATTGTAAATTAGAATTGAAATTGAAATTTGTGGTAATTAGATTGAAATTTGTTTGATGATGATTAAAAAATTTAGATGGAAATATTAAGAAGTTAAAAATAATATATTATATATATGATGATTAAAAAATTTAGATTGAAATATTAAAAAGTTAAAAATATTGAATTATATATATGATGATTAAAAAATTTAGATGAAAATTTTAATTAGTATTATATTACTAATTAAAAATATTATAAAATATATTATAAAATAGTTAATAGAATGTTAATGTAATGACCGGGAAAAATTTAGGTCTAATCCAGATAGTTCGGTATTTGACCGAAATCATTTTCGGAATAGTAAGTAGTAGAATTTTGATGTAATCAAGAAAATGTTATGTATAAACTTTATGTACGGGGTAAAATTTTTCAAAAAATGTAAAGTTATAATACGAATATTTTTACAAAAAAAATTCGTGAATGTCAGTTATGAATAGTGAAATATAAGTTAAAAGTTAAAAATTTTAACGGGTATATTTTAGTTATGAAAAACTAAATTATTTGGTTTATGACCAAATGACTAGTTAGAAAAAGAGTAGAAATAATAGAAGTAAGGCAAATAGCAAAAGTTCCTGAAATAGGATTTTTCCGAGTCAGTTAAAACGGGAAACTGCTAAAAAAATGAGTACCGCAAGGGTACGCATTTTGGGCAATTCTGAATCAAAAGAATGAAAATTTTAAAAAAAGCAATTGACTAAGGACATACCCAAGAAAATTGGGTTGGACATGAGAAGTTTGACCCAGGGTGCTCGATAGTCCAGAAAAGCAGTATAGAACCTGTACTGGTTGTGGAACTATTAGCACCAGAAAGAAACTAGTTTCGAGAAACGGAAAGTTTAGTCTCGACAAGAGAAATGTGGGGAACATAGAACCACTTAAATTAAGTGTTAAACTTAATTAGAATTTGTAAAATTTAATTATGAAAATTAATGTAATTATTTTAATCTAGAAAGTAATATTAGATATTATTAAAAATACTATTATAATATTCATTATGTCTAAAAAGAGGCCCACGGAAGACCATTAGAAACCAAAGTGTTTCTTTGCCTAAGTGTGGCCGAGAGAATAGAAAAAAGGGAGAAAGAGGGAAATAGGCTAAGACTTGAGATTAATTAAAATTAATAGGCTAATAGTTTACATAAGTTAATAAATAGGCCAAATTACTGTTTTCGTCCATAACTTGTCTGGTTATGAACCATAACTTGATAAGTTATTGTCCATAATTGTCCATAACTTGTCAGGCTATGAACCATAACTTGACAAGTTATGGCCTATTAATTTCTATAACTAAAAATTGGCCTATATACTTTCTTAAGCTTTTCATATTGGCACAAATATTATTATTTGGGCGGCAAACGTTGGCGCCAGACAACATTTGCCGCTAACTACATATTTGTGACGACTTGTACATTATTAGCGACGACAACATTCTCCAGTCATAGGAAAATAGGCCAAGACTTGAGATGAATTAAAATTAATAAGCCAATAGTTTACATAAGTTAATAAATAGGTCAAATTACTGTTTTTGTCCATAACTTGTTTGGTTATGAACCATAACTTGATAAGTTATTCACGGTTTTTATCCATAACTTGTCTGGTTATGAACCATAACTTGACAAGTTTGTCCATAACTTGTCTGGTTATAAATCATAACTTGACAAGTTATGGCCTATTAATTTCTATAACTAAAAATTAGCCTATATACTTTCTTAAGCTTTTCATATTGGCCTATTTTCTACTATTTTCCTAAGAGAGAAAAGAGAGAAAACAAAGGGAAATCCAAGGAATCAACCGATTTCATCAGAATTTCTTCCGTTTAGTCCGGTAGAAACGCAACCCGAGGCATTCTAGCAGAAAATCTCAACTTTT